AGACTGCTGGAAATGCGCCGGCTGTTATGCCGGTTGTTGCAGTCTCCCCTTCCGCTGTGAACACCACCCAGTTGGGTGATCTTTCGACTCCATCAGCGCTCCAATCCCACTCTTTTCCTTCCTCGAACGCGACGTTTCTGCTGACATGAATTCTGCCGTGTTGAGGGTCGTAGAGACGATGCGCTTTGCTTCCTTCTTCTACCCCAATATACACCATTGGCGTGCTCCGGTCGTCGAGTTTCTTGTGTGAAGGACCTGCAATTTTCACATGCGCCACACATCCGAAAACTCTCAAGTGTTCTAGGTGGGGTTTCTTACCAAACCAAGCTTCGTAGGGTGTGTGGTCGTTCAACGCCTTGGTTGGTAGTCGGTTGAGGATGTACACCGCGTGCCTAACCGCTTCGCCCCACATGGTTCCAGGCATATGCATGCTCTTAAGTAGGCTTCTCGCCATGTCCATCACCGTGCGGTTACGCCTCTCCACTACACCGTTTTGTTGCGGGGTGTACGGTGCAGTGAGATGACGCTTGATGCCGTAGTCTTCACAAAACTTGGTGAACTCCTTTGACAAGAACTCGCCACCACGATCCGTCCTCAATGTCTTCACCTTGTGGTCACATGCATTCTCAACCTCTGTTTTGAACTTCTTGAAGGTTTCACAAGCTTGACTCTTGGCCTTCAACATGTATACCCACATCCATCGGCTGAAATCATCAACGATAAGAAGGAAGTAGTTATTCCCAGCAAGTGTAGATGGGGTGATAGGACCACATAGGTCAGCGTGTAGTAACTCCAGCGGCTTCTGAGCTCTGAAATTTGCTTGCGAAGGGAACGGTAGTCTTGCTTGCTTGGCGACGAGGCATCCTTCGCATAGTTGATTTGGGTGCAAGATCTTCGGCAACCCGGAAGCCATCCTCTTATCAGTCATCATCTTGAGGGCGAAGAAATTGACATGCCCAAGGCGAGCATGCCATAACCAAGCTGGATCGTTAATGTTCGCCATCAAACACGCCGGCTTGCAAGTCTTTAACTCTATCCTGTACAATCGGTTAGTTGAACGTGTCACCCTCATCAAGAGAGCACCGTTCCTATCAAACACCCTCAGGAACTCACCAGAAATAACAACGTTGCTTCCATCTTCAGTCATCTGACCAAGGCTAATAATGTTAGATTTCAAACTTGGAATATAATATACCTCAGGTAGTAGCCTTTGATCCCCGTTGTTGCACTGAAAGAGGATAGAACCTTTCCCCTTGATCTCTACCGCGGATCCATCACCAAACTTGACGGTTCCCTTGATGTTCTCGTCGAGCTCCTTGAACTTGTCTCGGTGGCCGGTCATGTGATTGCTAGCTCCGTTGTCAAGGTACCAAGAGTTGTTGTCAACATGTGCCTCCCCTGCTGTAAGTAAATCCGGCATCACCTTCTCCTCATTAAGCAAAACGGCACTTGACGATTCCTCTAACATCGCCATCATCAAGGTTGGCTCCTCGTCATATGCACGGGTGAGATGAGCCTCCTGTTCATTATTGCGGCGTTGCTTGTGACACTCCGACTGAAAGTGCCCGTATACTCCGCAATTGAAGCATTTGATGTTGGATTTGTCTCGACCACCGCTTGTGCTACTCTCCCCCTCCTGGCGAGCTGCACCCCCATGGCCGAAACCACCTCCTGGACGTCCTCCTCTGCCGCCGAAGCCGCCTCGGCCTGCCTGGCCGCCGTGCTCCCCTCCGCGGCCTCCGTGGTACTGCTGTCCGCTGCCGTGGTACTGCTGTCCGCTGCCGTGGTACTGCTGTCCGCTGCCGTGGTACTGCTGTCCGCCTCGGCCTCTTTGGCCACGGCCACGCCCACGACCGGCCCCGCGACCTCGTCCTCGACCGCTGCCATCATTGGTTGTAGGTGTTGAGAGGAAGCCTCCGCCGTTCTTCTTGCTCCTTGCTTGCCACTCCGCATGCGTCAACAATAGGTGATCGTCGACGTTGTTTCGAAAAACACGTGCCCTCTCCTCGTGGGCTTTGAGACGCCCGATTGCCTCCTCGAGTGTCATGTCGTCGATGTCCCCGAACTGTTCAATCGTGGAGACGATAGTGAGGAATCTCTCCGGTACCGCCCGAAGAAGCTTTCTGACGACGTAGTTCTCCTCCATCTTGCCGCCTAAAGCACGGATCTTGTTGACGACTCCTGTCAACTTTGTCGAAAAATCGTCGACGTTGTCATTCTCCTTCATCCGGAGAAGTTCGAACTCGGACTTCAAGGTTTGCACCTTCGCGTTCCTCACACGATCCGCTCCTAGATGCATTGTTTTCAACGTCTCCCATGCCTCTTTTGCCGTTTGCTTCTCTGCGATCACCATCAACGTCTCTTCAGGAATCCCCTGGTAGATGGCCGCCAACGCCATCTGATCCTTCCTGTGTTCCACGGACGCGCCTGCCGCGGGCTCAATGGCATCCCACACGTCTTGAGCCTTCATGTAGACTTTCATCTTGATTGCCCACGAAGCATAGTTGTCCCTCGATAACGTCGGGTATTGAAGAGTGAGCGAACCCACCTTGGTCGTCATCTTCTCCGAACTCGTCATCTCTTCAGATCTTGGTTGGTACTTAGGCATACACCGCTCTGATACCACTTGTTGGCTTTGAGAATAGGATCGGCCTAAGCTTCTTGACTTGCAACACAAGAGGGATATTGATCTTAATTAGCCGAACTTGATGATGAACAAAAACCTGCAGAAACAAAACAGTGTCTTTCTTTTGTATTGGCCGAAAGAACAAAAACACAGAACCTGCAGGAAATTTTCCTCTCTGTTTTGTTGATGAACCCGAGCAATGATGGAGCAGGAACTTTTTTTTTTTCAACTTTATTCACGTTCTTTAAACATAAAGACTTGTTTACATATATATAAACTCTAAGATTACAACTCTAATCTTATCCAATAACTAGAGAACTTATCTACTAACTAGTATTCTATTCTAACTAGAATTCTAACTAGGATTCAAACTACCAATCCGGACTGATTAACAACTCACATTTTATGCCTCTTTTTCCCCGGTAGATTCTTTTTCATCATTAAGCATTGTTTTGTTCCAAATGAGACATATATCAATAGCAGGTATTAAACCTTTTATTTAGATTAATAAAAGATGAATCCAATTTCGCTATAATAGCCTCATCGTGTTCTGATTAATTTGGCCGCAAATTAACCTTGGTATTGTGAAGTTTGATCTCTGTTTATTTGGAGCCTATGCATTATTTACTATAAGTTTCTCAAGAAGATTTCAACATGCAAGAAAGTAACATGATCTATGCACTCGATAGGTACCGATTGGAGGATGCTATAGGCTTATTGACATCCCAATGAGCAACTGCATTAACAGTGGCATAAACAAGATATTCATCATGACTCAGTTTAACTCTGCGTCTCTTAATCGCCACATCTCGCGGACTTACAATCTTGGCAATGGTGTCAGCTTTGCAAATGGATTTGTTGAGGTATCAATCTTTCTTTATTTTTTCCCTTCCTTTTACTTTTCAGTTTCTTTTCATCAATAAATGAAACAAGAGAAACTAAAAAAGAAATTCATGCGGTTCATTGTGAAAAAAAAAAAAACTGATTTGACTCGATAAACAGGTATTGGCAGCTACTCAGACACCCGGTGAAGCTGGAATGAATTGGTTCCAAGGAACAGCAGATGCTGTACGGCAATTCAGTTGGTTATTTGAGGTTCGTATTTTAAACAAGAAACAAAATTCCCTATAACAGTCAAGATCACTTTTTGTAATTTTGATTCTAATCTTTTCCTATTTTTTTAACAATATTTTATTAGGTGATGGATTAACCATATATACTTATATTCTCATTCAGGATGGAAAGAATAAGAACATTGAGCACATAATGATTTTGTCTGGTGATCATCTATATCGTATGGACTACATGGACTTTTTGCAGGTTCTAACTTCATTTAATATCATGATTTTGGTATTTCCTGTTATGTGATCGTCAAATATATAGTGACCAAGTGACTCGCGACAATGAATACAGAAGCATATTGACACTGGTGCTGATATTACGGTATCTTGCGTTCCTGTGGATGATAGGTAATGCTTAGATTCGCTCGACCTTCAATGACAATGTTTAATATGTTATTGTTATTTAACGAAGATTTCCATATAGTCTTGCTGTAACTTATTTCTATATTAATGCAAAAAATTTAACATTTAGGGCTAATCTAACAAGGGCTCCTCTTCGATTTCTTTATGCATTGAGTCACTAATCTACCATGATTTAGTGACTTTTTAACTTTACAGAAAAAAATTATTGGACTAATAGGCCAGCCATAATATTTTTACATGCACAATCATGGACATTGAAACAACTCACTAAATTCTTCTCATAACAGTTCAGTTGATTCGCAAAGCTTTGTTTATCCTTTGGGTTCAGTCCTAATTTTTGAGGTCTTATTTAATTTAAGCTCAGAGAAAGTAAGAGTAGTTTTCGTGTCTTCTTTTATTTCTCATGGCGTCTGCATTCTGCATTATCTTAAAGCCGGGCATCTGACTACGGATTGATGAAGATTGACAAAGTTGGACGAATCATCCAATTCTCTGAGAAGCCAAAGGGCGTTGATTTGGAATCCATGGTAAGCCTAATAAACCTAAGTATTTCATTATTCATTAAATAAATCTGACTATACAATCATGATTTAAATTCTGAAGATCTAATCAAGTTTTTTGGCATATTACAGAAAATAGATACCACCATTCTCAGTTTGTCTCGCCAAGAAACTATGAAGTATCCTTACATTGCTTCAATGGGTGTATACATTTTTAGAAGAGATGTCCTTCTAAAACTTCTAAGGTAAGTTGCATGCTTTTCAATTATAATTCTTTCAGAATTTATGTTATCATATTTTTTCTCCTTCCAGGTGGAAATATCCAAAATCAAACGATTTTGGTTCAGAAATCCTTCCTTCAGCTGTTCAGGAGTACAATGTCCAGGTGAAAAATATTTTAGAACTTGGATAAAATTCTAGCAAATGTCTTTGTCTCCCAAATGACTTAATTAGTTATTGAATACTCTTTTATAACAGGCATATTTGTTTAGTGACTACTGGGAGGATATTGGAACAATTAGATCATTCTTTGATGCGAACATGGCACTCACTGATCAGGTTAGTTTGCCTATGGCATGTCTTAAGAGGAAGAAAAGAGGAGTTCTAAGAGATGAGAGGGATAGAATCTCACTCATGCATTTGATTTCATTGATAATAATCAACCGTGAATAATACAATTTTAGCCAGATATTTCATATATTTAGCTACGTCGAATTATTTTCTAATGTCAAACTTGTTTTAGTGGCTATTGGAGTTAGCTGGTTTTACTGATTATTCCTTTTTTTTTTTTTTTTGGTTGCAGCCTCCAAAATTTCAGTTTTATGATCCAAAGACTCCTTTCTTCACATCACCTCGATTTCTGCCACCAACGAAAGTAGAAAAATGCAGGGTAAGCTGTAGTATAATTTTAAAGAATGCTATGAAATTCAGTTGATTATCCATTTGAGTCTTTCCCATTCGGTGGTGGAAGATGCACAAGAACATAATTTATGCTATTTTGCATGCGCCCCATAATTTCTCTCCTGGGACATATAAATGATTTGACATAAGCATCCCTTCAAGTAATCGGAGCATTACTAATGATTTGGAGCTTATAGATAGCATGCTCTGCATTGTCTCATTACTCAAATTAAACTTGGCAGATTAAGGATGCAATTATATCACATGGTTGCTTCTTGCGTGAATGTAGTGTTGAACGTTCTATTGTGGGTGTTCGTTCACGTTTAGACCATGGAGTAGAACTCAAGGTTTGTTCTTATTATTATCTGTATCCTAGTAGTCACTTTAATTATTAATTTTTTTCCCTTGTATAAATGAATTTGTAAACTACCTCAACATTGAATGAATATACATTGACCTGCAGGATACTATGATGATGGGTGCTGACAACTATGAAACTGAAGCAGAAATTGCGTCTCTTCTGGCTGAGGGTAACGTTCCCATTGGCGTAGGGAAGAATACCAAGATCAGGTAAACTCCACAAAGAAAAGTTTATTTTACGATAAAAATTCATCGCCATTGTGAAGCAAAAGTTTCTAAGAAGCTCTCATTTTTCTCACAGGAATTGCATCATTGACATGAATGCTAGAATCGGGAAGAATGTGCATTTAATAAATAAAGATGTGAGTACCTGCTTCTAATTTCATTCTTTATTATACGTGTTCTCGCATAATGCTCTTCTACGTAATAGGGGGTTCAAGAAGCAAATAGATCAAGTGAAGGTTTCTACATCCGGTCAGGAATCACCATAGTCACAAAGAATTCTACCGTCAAGAATGGGACCATAATGTAGAATCGCTTCAATTACGGTGGGCACGCAATTGGAACTGTTTGACTGGGAAGATGTCGCTTAGGTGCGTGCAGTTAGTCTTATGATGTAGATATGTAGAGCAACATTTGGAACTGGCTGACTGGGAAGAGGTTGCTTAGGTGTCGAGCAGCGATGAGGCTGTATGAATAAAATGTGAGTCTTAGCAGTTGATACCTTACGGGTAGTGAGCTTGCAGTAATTCGGAGCATTGTATGACAGTATTGTGCATATTCTATGTGCACTGTTTGTGTAGATAACAACCATAAGCTAGTTTTGAAGCTTTTCAATAGGTTTTCTTTGAATTGTTGCTGAGTACCATATTTAGTGAAATATGAAGAATTTTTTTTTATAAGTATGAGGAGTTCCTTCGGAATTTCAGGGGCATTAGACAAAGTACTCAGTATCTAAGAGGTAATTTATAAGATATTAAGGAGCACCTGAAGGATAAAGTAGTGGACAACCAGGCCATTTGAGTAAACTGGCACATCAAATAACTTGCATGGTAATTTTCGGAACACCGAAAAAGTAAGGTATAACTACATCAATAACACAAAAAGGAAACAAACACAGATAGTCCTTTCACTCAAGCATCTGATGATCAGAAGATCTAGAGTACTAGAAATTGCTTCTCTTGGATGAAACATAAAACATCTCAAAGAGAACACCCACTCACCGTATAGAATTCACCCCACTCAACACAACAACGCAGTTAACACCTTATACGCCTGCTGATCAGTTTCCTACATCTTTCCCTCTGCTTGCATCCAGCCGTTGCTTCCTCCTTATTTCCTTTGCCTTATTCATCCTCACAACATTCCTCATCCTTGCATACAACTTACCAAGGTAGCGAAGCTTTCGACTCTGACTAGTGATAACATTAGTCGTCGACGGGTCCTGACCGAGAACAATCTCATATCCATCCTTGAAAGTATCCATCCCTTCGGTCAAGAGCTGCCAAAATAAGCCACCACCCGTCGCTCCTCCACTTCTCGCCGATCTATAAATCTTACCATACACGATATTAAACATCGCGTTCCTCTGGGAGTCACTGTATCCAGGATCCTTCCAAGATTTCCCAAACTCTGTCAAAAATATCGGTTTCTTGAGAATGTTACGGGCGTCTCGAATGTGGGTGTCGAGCCAAGTGTTGAGAAATGCAAGCTGTTGCTGATCATTTGTGTTTGATAACCTGTTACACGAGATTTATGAAGATGAGTTAAAAGGGAAATAAGGGGGTCCCCCAATATCGACGTGTTGTTACCATTGGTCAGGGTACGAGTGGAGGGTGGCGAAATCGATGCCCGGGATCTGATTGTTGGAGATGAAATCGGTTCCGACTTGAAATCCTGGATTGACTCGATTCATTTGAGCCGAAGACGGGCCGTAAAATCCTTCAAGCCCGGCTTCAAGCAAGTGGTTGCCGTCTATGGACTTTACATGAGCGGCCATCTCCGTGATCCATGACTATATACGTACATATATACGACAGGAACAAAAGAAGATAAAAGTTTTAGAAAATGCAAACGTAAAGAGTTACTCATCATACAAATTAAGACGGGATTTTTCGCAAACCTGAATGGTTTTTCCTGAGGTATCTGAAGGGCATCTGGGCTCATTCATCAGCTCCCACGCAAAGATTGTAGGATCGTCTCTATAAGCAACTCCAGTTATGGTGTTGGTTCTCGTTAGCACAGCCTTCACCGCAAAAGAAAAAAAACAAAACAATTAAAAAGAGTAAAACCGTGATGCAAGTTGTTGCAAGATTAAGTCTTTAAAACTTGTGTAAGCCAGAGGAGGAGCATGGTTTGTTTTTCCAAATCCCACGAGAAGAGAGTGAGATATTGTGTAAGGTTCACTATTAAGAAGCTTAACTCTTTATTCACATAGGAGTGATTAAACAGCCTAAACAATTAATATGTAGGAAAAAGTTGCTCAAAATAAAAGGGCAACACAGATTAGAAAAGGTATAAGACTACCTCTGCATAAAACTGCAAAAACAAAAAAAAATCAAGAAATCATGTATCAGAAACTTCTTCCCTATTCTGATAAGACCTGTGCATAGTCTATTGTCATTTATTATAAAGCAGATGTACTACTGTCTTTAAGCATCACCTATTCACTAAACATAACCATGGAACTGATCCACTGCTTACAAAAAAGAGAGGAATCTTGCCAAGGAAAACAACAAACTGGAATTTTCATTATTCAGCAAAAGTTTTGGAAGATTAAACCAGAAAATTTCATTATTCAGCATAAATTCACCTTAACATGATTCTTGTAGTAGCTTTTAACAAGAGGGTTCGTGAAGAACTCATCGTCCGAGCCGATGTTCTGCCCTTGGCTCCTCGCCCACTGCACATACTGCTTCTTCCCCCCAAAATTCTCATAGTTGTTCACCAAGCTCAGAATCAGCCTTATCTTGTACCTCCTAGCCTCAGATACCACAAAATCCAACCCCTTGACACAAAACCAAAAATATATATATATATCGATTAATTAAAAACTGGAAAAAAAAAATTTTAAAAAGAGGGGTGTTTAATTTGCGCGCGCGGTACCTTGAACATTTGCTCGTTGTAGGAACCAGGGGAGGATTGAAGAGGGTTTGGGCCACCGTCATTGAAGGCCCAGGTCCTTGCGACGGTGAGGCCATGGCCTGAAGCTTCTCGGAAAGCGTTGGAGACCTTGTCTCTCTGAGATGGGTCGGAGCCTAAGCACATGAGCCAGTAGGCGTTGAACCCGTTCGCAAAGAACGGGTACCCGTCTACATTGAAACGGTGCCCGTTAGTCCTCATGAACCCTCCTCCGGCCTCAACCCCGCATCGTTGCCTCAACAGCAACACCGCCGCTAAGAAAATTGACGGTAATAATAAGCTCACTCCCCTCATCTTGTCGCAGAGAGAGAAAAGAGAGAGCTAGGGAAGAGCAAATAGTTATGAAGCTTCTATTATTATTATTTTTATTATTGCAGGTGGACGCATTTTAATAGGGGAGGGAGGGAGGGAGGGAGTCACAGAGAGCTAAAAAGACATTTAGTTGGTTGGCTTCAACTGATAGGCTTTCATGTGAGGCAACAGCCGCCCGCTCAACATAAATGAGGATGTGGGTTGGGGCTGTTTGGATAGGTTTTTTTTCGGTGGTAAAAGAGGAGAAAGCTGTTAAAAATGTCAGTTTTTTGACAGCTTTCCCCCAAAATCATCTTTTTAAGAGGTGATTTTGGTGGGAAAGCTGCCAAAAAGCTGATATTTTTGGTAGCAGTTAAATGTATTTGTTGAAGTTTTTTTTTTTTACCAAGTTAAATACGGTAGACTTCACAAAAATCGCCAGGAGGTTTGGCCTACTTACAGAAAATTTTAGAAAGTGTGCAAACGCAATTTAACCCTCAAAATCATGATTTTTTTTCCCCTGGATCTTTTTTTCCAGATAAAAAACCCACAGCTTTTGGGAGATTATCTTAAAACGAGCCATACTTTTTTTTTCAAATTTTGTAAAATTTACCCTTTGAAGCACCATATCCTAGCTGATCCTTATGATTTTATTCGATTTCATTCTTAGAGTAATGATTTTTGTTTAAACCTTATTTAAAATTTCAGGTTGAGGCAATTTAAGTATTTCTCATTTTAATATTTGTTGAGTTACGATAATACTGTGTATACGCACCTTTTAATACCTTTCATCATACTTTGTTCATTTCTAGTAAAAAAAATACATGTATGTGAATAGCAATTGAAGACAACTTAGATTATACTCAACGGATCCAAAGCAGTTATGCCAAGGTTACCAGGCCATAATTGCAGAAATCTCAGACTAATTAATCAATCTCAGATTCTACTTAAGCTGCAGATTAATTACGAAAATAAGCTACTTATACTAGTGGCCCACTATGAGGAGGAAAAAAAGCAAAATCTACGAACAAGGGAATTTTGGAAAGAAATGATTCTTTGCTTCTTTGAGATGTTGGGAATAACTTCTCTGTATTTTAGTCGGAGTGAAGTTTGGGAAAAGTCTCTACTTAAATTGGGTGTACCTAGAGGAATAATATCATCTAACAAATTCTATCACCATAACCAAAAAAAAAAAAAAAAAATTCTCAACACTTGCATATGTAGTGCCAGTGGTCCTAAATATTCAACAACACACTCCACAAATTTTGGCGGATTGATGCACAACCTAGGAATGAGAACCCGTACTAATGAACCTTTAAAAAAACAAAATCAAATAAATTAACAAGGAGCGAGCCCCAAATGTCGATGGTGGTCGACCTAATTAGGCGCCAAGTAGGCTTAGCTGGGCTCGGTTATCAGACCAAAGTCTTTTTCTTCCTCTTTCCTATTGCGGTGACAGTGTCATGAAATTATTGACGCAGCACTGTTTAAACATGAACCTTCAAATCTTCAATTGACACCATGCGTGCAGCTCATAAGTTGTGATGTTTTCCTGGTCCTTGAATAGTACATACTGATTCCTGAAGACTACGTCTTTCAGAATTTCGCTGACAATGGATGAAAATGAAGTTAAAATGTAAAGTAATTGATAACGCGCGCTGACAATTTTTCTTATCTATTCCTCAATAACAATGGGAGGATCTAAGATTAACTATTCATGCTACAGTAAATTACTGTAGCAGTAATGTTACTGTAGTACGAACAGGAGGATCCAATGTTCACTACCATTGCTACATAAATTACCGTAGCGTTTATTAGTGTAGCGCAGTCGGGATATTGTAGCATTTAAAAATGTTACTGTAGCACATACAAAAACTATATTAAACACAGAATTAGTATAACGGAAATAAAAAAATGGAGGTCGTGATTTGCACGGGGTGCACACTAGTGTATATATAAAAGAGAGGATTTCAGATTCTTATACCACGGGAGTTCACTAAAGAAAGGAGAGGGAAGATAAAATAGGGGAAGAGAAAGTAGCCAAGGGAAGAGAAAATATAAATAAAAAAATGGAGGGAAATTACTTATTACGTTTGGGTGTTCTAGTAAAGGAAGGGGAAAGGAAAAGAAGAGCTTCATGATAAAAACTTAGCCGTCATTGATCCTCGATGATATAGACAATCCTCATGTGTGTGTTTTTTTTCTGTGGGGTGGGGGGGTAAAACTTCCAAATGTAGTTAGTGACTATTTGGTTCAAAAACCGCACCATGAGAAAACCTAATTGAGGGGGGTTGGGGAATTTATTTTTTATATTTTACCAGCCACTTCCTAGAAATGGGTTTTTATTGTTTGGTTCGGGCGAAAATAGCCTCAATTCCTAGAAAATCATACATTTCAATAGTTTGGTTCATTGTCTAAAAAATAGGAAAACATACACATATGAAATGCCACCTCAGCCAAACATACACATATGAAATGCCACCTTGGCCAAAAACCCCTAAAATATTTCATTTTAACCAACTACAGCTCATTTTCTCTTAAAAATTTAGGTAATGAATTTTTCCAGAAAAGTGATGTGGGATGATGATTTGGGAACTCACTTTCCAGACAACAAGCTTGAAACAAATATTGAAAGTGGTCCATAATATTAGAAAAGTGATAAATTTTATTTTTCTAGAAATTATTTTTAGGATGTTTTCCTTTTTTTTTTTTTGGACCGAACAAAACATGACCTTATATGCCCACTTCCCTCCTTACCCTCTTCTACCTCCTATCCAGACACATGTTTAGGGATTTTACATAGGAAATAGGAATTCAATGTGTGATTTGTGCCTTTCTTGTGAGTGTGAGATATGAATTTGGAATCCTATGATTTTAGTCTTGATGTCAAATCTAACGATAAAAAAGATTATCGCATCCTATGCTACAAAGAATATGTCTTCATAGGATCTCCTTCTATATAAATGTATGAAAAAACAAAAAAGTAGCCCCACCTTTTTGACAATGACAAAGAAAAACGGTGGCCGAAAAGTTTGAAAAAGAAAGGTAGCGGGTCCCATCACTAATAATATTTTATTAGTGCATATAGTTTTCCAAACACTATAAATAAGGCCAAAAAACTCTTCAGGAAAATTCATCCCAGAAACAACTCTTCTTAAAGAAAAGTGAGAGAAAGGAAAAATAGAGAGTTTTTTCTTAATATCAAGGAGAGAGTTTGTGAGAATACTTTGAGTGTATCTTGATCAAGATAGGGTGTTCTCTTTGATCTAATTTTTTTGGAATATAAAAGAACTGCGCATCGTCGTTGCACTGTGGAGTAGCACCGTAAGAGTGAACCACGTTATATCTGTGAGTACTGTGATTGAATTTGTGTTTTTATTCTGTGATTTCAAAATCCTTTTGGTGTGTATTGCGTCTCCGAGAGAAACAACTCTGTTGACGTATACCCTAACAACTGGTATCAGAGCCTAACTTAGAGTACATATATCTGCTTATCGTATGCTCTGTGGTTGTCACTAAAAGTGGATCCTCTACATCAGAAAATAAGTTAAATTATCATTTACTCTTTAAAGGCACTAGGCACTATTCACGAGTACGGTACTATTCATAAGTATTGTTACTATTTATAAATACAGTTCAGGAAAGACGTAATCGTTCGCCATGGGATCTACGGTTGAAGACAACAGGCTTCGAATTAAGAAGTTCGGCGGCCAAAATTTTAGGTATTGGATGATGCAAATAGAAGACTATTTATACCAGAAGGATCTCTTCCTACCCCTCCAAGGAGAGGCGGAGAAACCTGAGAAGATGGATGACGATAAGTGGAAGGTGCTCGATCGTAAAGCACTTACCACCATCAGGCTCAACCTTCACCAACATGTGACTTACAACGTCTCGCATGTGACCACCACCAAGGAGTTGATGGAGGCATTGGAGGCATTGTATGAGAAGCCGTTTGCTTCAATTAAGGTGTACCTGATGAAGAAGCTATTCAATCTAAAGATGCAGCAAAGAGCTCGCGTGGCGGACTTCTTGAACAAATTTCAGGCTGTGGTGCAACAGCTTGCTGCAGTAGATCTCAAGTTCGACAATGAGATCCAAGCTCTTCTGTTACTTTTTTGTCTATCAGATTCGTGGGAGAATATGGTGATGGCGGTAAGCAACGCCAATGGCAATGACAAGATGAAGCTCGACACGGTGATTGGGTCAATTCTGGATGAAGAATCTCATCGCAAAGTCTCAGCAACTGAGACCTCCAGCAGTGGGAGTGCTCTGCATGTCGAGGCCCGAGGACGTGCACAGAAGAAGGGTAGGGGACGACGAGGCCGATCAAAGTCCAGAGGGAAGTCTAAAAGGCCGAACCCGAATGGTTACGGTGAAGGAAAGTGCTTCAGATGTGGAAAGAATTGTCACTTTGCACGGGACTGCAGAGTTTCTGTTCCATCATTAGCAGTGGATGATCAGGCTGACGGTGCAACCAATCTCATGCACGAAACAGATTCGGATGCGCTTCTCCTATCCCTAGAAGACAAAAGCGAGGCGTGGGTCTATTTCGTGGGAAAATTCGAAAAAGACAATTAAGAATTAAATTTGTATTATTCTCTCTGACAGGCTCATAAAAAGAATTAATTACAATTCTCTCGATGCAACTTTTTTCTAACAGACTTAGAAAAGAAATTACAAATCTTCTCGATCTGTTTTCCGATTTACAAAAGAGAGAAAGATCGACAGAGATCATTCTCTTTGTTTAACCTGGGTTCTTCTTGGTGTCGATGGAATGCCTCTCTCGAATGCTTGCGTCAAGTTCGCTTTCTGTTGACGATTCGAACGATTCACCTCGTGGAACGTTGTCTTCGCCTCTTAACTCGAAGTCTTGGACGAACTTGCGTGGCAAGTTGAACAGAACTCTTGACGAGTTTAGGAACTCAGAACAAGTTTAAAACTCTGTCAAAGAGTTGATTTGAACCAAAAATCGGTTAATAAGCCAAGGATAACAACTCCAAGATCTCTGTTACTGAAAAATGCTTCAAGATCTCCAAGTGCCGATCTTCAAAATCTGGATCCCCAAAAAGATTGATCTCCAAAGATTGATTTCCTATGCAA